TCTTCGACCCACATCTATCCACATACATCTGATGTGTAGATAGTGGAGAGTGATATCTATCAGTATGTATCATCAGGACATAAAGCAGTTCTTATCTGGTCCTGCTCTGTCTGTGGTCTGCTCTCCCTAAATGAGCTTGTATACTCCCCGGGGCACCAGTCCTCTGACCAGCAGCTGACACACTCCTAACAACAGGCTGATTAACAGGAGCCGACACACAGTGAACAAATGCACAGTCAGACTCACTCCCATGTGTCGTCAACAGCACTGCAGGCCACATTCCTGACATCCCGCCCGGGCTGCCGTCCAGCTGTTAGTGCAGACCAACAGTTGCTCATACTCCTACAGTGAAATCGATTCTGCGGCTCCTTAGATAAGAACAGTGGGGGAGGGGCACTGATAGCCGCTTGGTTAACTCTAGGACTGATAGGATTGATATGAGTTGGGCTTTGGGTGTGCTTCCTCAAAGCACAGGTTCTCACTTAATCATATCAGCACCTTTATCTGAGGGACTGGAGGTACTGGGTCGATACAGGCTCATGGAGGCATCGATCCCCTGGAGATGTAGATGGAGTTCAGTGGATGGTCCCAGGTTGCGAGGGCTAGTAGTAGCAAAAGAAACAATGAACACATGAGCATTTGTCCAGGCGGCTGTTTGGATCGTGTCTGGATTTTCCCACAGGGAGTCCAGGGATGACACACTGCTCTGGGACTTTCCTGCAGAAGGACTAATAATTAGATTTAAATACTGGATGCTATTGAATATTGTTTGAGGGAAATTTGTGTTTTGTTGCAGGGAAAGTTGCAAGGAAAGTTTCAATATCAGTCACACTACTGTTAAGAATCTATAGCGTTGTAACTTATAGTCGACATTACTGTATTTACATTACAATATTAATATAATACATATTAATATTAGACTTAGACAAACTTTCCACAAGGGAAATTATTTGGACAATTACAACATAAAGTGTATTTTAAATACATAATTTGGCTGTTTAAAGGATACTTAGAAGATCATTCCAACAAGAAGAAGTACTCAGAATACTGCTGCTACTGCTACCGCTACTACATTTGCCATCAAGAGTGATTTACAAGTACAACAATGTTTTAAAAGTTGTAAAAGTAGCCTGTAGACATAATTCTTGTAATATGGTGTCTACCACAGCAGACAGCATGTTTTCTATGCCAGATGTGTTGAGCACCAGAGAGCGGTGGGTGGTTTATTGAAAGACAATACTCGTAGCCTTGAGGCAGAGGACCCCCAGTGTGTAAACATACAAGGGGCAAAGATCAACTCGACTTCACCACAACAATAACTTATTTTGGCACACTGGACCTAAACTCATTTCACATCTGACTTTATGAAGGGTACAGGCAGACTTGCTAAAACTGTATGTCGAGTTATTTTTACCACATCTCAGTCTTTTAAATATAGACAGTGGTCGTCAAGGCAACCCGGATGTGTTGTGAGAAGGGCCTTTGTCTGCGGAGCGGCGTTTGGCATCTCCACTTAGCACTAGTTCCTGTGTGGAAACAAAAGAGCGCATGGCCCAGCACTTTGGAGGACAGCTTGGCCAGCCATTTGTCTAATGAGAGATCAGTCCCAGGGTTTAGCACAGGGCCATATGTTAATTTGAATACAGCTATAGTCCCCCGGTGTTGAATGCCCTCAAGCTGTGTTCTCCCTTATTGAAGAGTGTGTAGTTGTTGTGTGCACATCTGAGGAACAGTTAAAGTTCAACTGATGAAAAGAACAGAGCGGAGTAACCTAGTTTATCTAACAAGCTGCTGAGGTTTTGCGGGCAATGCAAAGATCAAAACAAAGCCTTGAAGAAAACACTAAATTTGAATGTTTGTGTTACTGTGGTAGATAAAAGGGAGATCCGCTTCCATTGAAGGTTTCTTTGTGAGTAACATGTTAAAAGAAAAGAACCCAATGTGTGGTGATGTGTTTGGATACGCAGTGCGGTGGTGTCCTATTTCTACAACAGGGATTCAATATTCTGCATTACATAAGGGCTGTCTTTCAGTCTCCTTTCTCTTATGTCTTTGTCTACATGGGTCAGAGTCATAAACAAGAAAAGCTAAGCACATTTAAAAGTACATATTGATTTTTAATTATTACCAATTAATTTATACAGTTAACATCTTTTACATAAGAAAGCAGGTAGAATCCCAAAATAAGTAAATGTACTAGATTTGAAGCTATGTTAACAGTCCTCAATTGCAATGGCCATTGAGAATTCAAAATATTATATCTTTTGACTGGGGAAAGAGCATCACAAAATCATTAAGGACTGGCTTGCTCTATAGAAGTAATATAAAGTAGTAGTATATGTTACTAGGATCTTTTTTCAGACCAAGAGTTTGTTTTCCTACCTGACAGTTTCGACTACTCACTAGTGGTCTTCCTCAGAGTGGTCACATAATGTTGCTGAGATGTGTCTGGTCAGCTCATTTATACAGGTTTTGGTGCTGTTTTCCTACCAGTGGAGGCAGGATGACAGCACCATCTATAGTCTGACTTCCTTAGGACAGTATCCCAGGTGTATGAGAGTAAAAAAGCCCCCTTGTCCCAATTTATGGACCATTCTGAGAAAGCAGTCAAAACTGTCAGGTATGAAAACAAACTCTTGGTCTGAATAAAGAACCTAATAACATAAATTATTGGAATACCATATGAACCTCATTGGACTATAAAATAGTAGCAGTAGTAGTATATATGCAATGTATCGCCTACAGATAACAGCAGGTGAAGTAGCATTGTAGTAAACCTAATAGCTAGGCTGGACAATATTTATTTAATACGACAACTGCAATAGCCATGAAGATTTAAAGTACTTCTCCATTTCTGAATAAAGATCTCATTATCCTTTAGTTATAACTTGCTGAGTTGCTTGGAACTTGCTTCAGTGGCTATAGCTGTGCAGTGGGGGGCAACCAGCATCAATATTTCATGTTCTAGACCAGACACTGTGCCTATTAATAATACAGTCTGCCAGTCCAATGGTAGACTCACAGTATGGCCACTTGCTCTAATATTAGGTAACCCAAATAACACCATCCCATAACCTAAATACATTAATGCTGTTGGAAACTGGAAAGGCATTTAAAGTTTTTATGGATGGGAAGAAAGCTGAGAAACTTTGCCAACACATCTGCAAAACTTTACAGGGAAAGACTCTTAATGACCCAAACATGTTATAAATATAAAGCTTACTGCAAAACACCATTAATATTAACATAACATAAGAAGAGCTCACAAGCCACCATAGTGTTAGTTGAATTTCTGAATATAAAACCACAAGGAAGGGCATCTGACAAAACATTTTAAATATACTTCCACTTATACTACTATTAGTATACTAATGCATATTCTTATTTTATTTAGACCTGAGTTTGACCTTGAGTTATAGTCCTAAATCAATAAATAAATGATTTGCATTAAGAAGGGCTTAATCTGTACCAAATCAAAAAATATGCAAATTCTGGTTAGCTAAAAGGCAGAAGGTATGGAAAAGCTGAAAGGAAATGAATAAATGATAGACAGAGTAGCCCAGTCCATTCATCACCTGATGCACACATGTTTGTATGGCTTCTTTTATGTCTGTGCTATGACTGATTACTTCTGATGGCGTCTGGCTCTAAAACTCCCCTTTAACCTCTCCATCCATAGTGTCTGCTGCGGCCGAGTTGTGACTGGAATACTAATATTATGAACGCCAATGCAAATGACTGGGTAACAAAGGTCTAGAGCAGTCCCACTGCTGAGCTGGTTAGGGACAAAAGCACTTGTCTGCTGCTCTCTGCTCCAGACCGCTCTCCACAATGCTCGGCCTCCTGTCGACAGTAACAATGTTGTCAGCATCTTACTGAAAGGAGTCTGTCAACAAGCACTTTCGCCTGTTTCTCTGCTGAATTAACAGGAAGCCACTGGGGCAGAATCAATGCAGTGGAAATATGTGGCTTCATGCTTTTGCTACAAGTTTTTCCAAGGTAGAACGCAAGAGGAGTTAAGAAAACTTTCATCAAATCAAACTAAGGTTAACTTAGTAAATGATCTATTGTGTAGTCTGTTACATCTCTCATCATTTACTGTACTTAAATTGCAACACTGAGTTTTTAAAGTCATAATTTGGGTGTTGGATGGGATGGGATTTTGCCCTAAACATGTGAATTGTGTTATTGCTATAACAACAGAGGACAGCTGCCAAATGAGATTGCCAAATCAGTAAGGAAGCACTTGCTTGAATCCCATGAATTGGTACTACTATAATACAATTGGACATACTAGTACTTGTTTTTAACTTACAACTTATATTTCTATAATCAATTTGGTCTGACATGAATGGATTTGTCATGGTTAATAAATTTAGTCGAGTTTATGAATTCCAACAAAAATTAAACCATGTAATAGTTAGTAATTATTTTCACCTCTGACCATATGCAATGCTACTATAAACATACACTTCACCCATTCTTGCATAGTGTGGCATTTGAGTGAGTGTTGGTAGTGGGTGGAGGGGTAGATTGGCAGTCTCACTTCCGTCAGTCTATCCCAGGGCAGCTGTGAGTACAAAAGTAGCTTACCATCACCAATGAGTAATGGCTACATTGGTTTGAGAGGCTTTGTCGAGCTTGTAAAGAGCATTACAAGTAGGCCTGTCACAATATTTACTATACCAAGTTATTGTTCAATACATGACAAATGGAACAATAATTTTTGGGGGACAATATTTATCGTGGGAACTTTTCTTTTGCAATGCAATAAGATTTCAGCTGTAGAAGGTTGAATAAATAACTCCTATGACTCATTACAGATGCAAACTAAGTACTAAAGTGTACAATTTAGAATATTTTTTTGGGGATAATTCTGGTTTAGGGATATTGTGCCAGAGGCATAAGTTAGTTTCAATATTATTGTCTATCATCACAGGCCTAATTACAAGTACAAGGCATTATTGTTATAATAAATATATACAGTGTGCTTATCTTACCATGGGTATCTGTGAGGGCCACGTCTTTGTTCAGGTGAAGAGGACAACTCTGGTAGACTGGTTTGGCTCTCCTTTTCTCATGAGCTGCACACACAAAAGGGAACACAGGGTCAGGGCAGTGTTAATGGGATGAATAAACAGTGAGAAGAAACAAAAGTGGCACATTTGTCACTGCCTGCTCTAATTCATTTAGGCCAAATACAGCTGCAGCTTGGGACAAAATCAGATTCTGGGGCGCTTAAAATGACTAGCTTGGTATTTATAATGCATGAGGAGGCCCTTGCTCCCAACTGTGGTGTAATCTAGGGCCATTTTTATCTATATTTCACATCACAGCTCAGGGCAAAATTATACACGTGCTATCCTTAGAAGTGCTGGTGCTATGGTTTCTATTTGGTCAGGTAAAATTTGCATATGTGTCTCATGGGGTCTTAATATGTACCTTCTCTCTCGGTAATTAACCTTTATTAAAAGAGAAGACACTTGCAAGGCTCTGTACTGCTCCTGTTCTGACCTTGAAGCAAACCAAGAACTCATGCATTATTCACTGAAAAGTAGTACCACATTCCTCCGTCTACACATTGCTGCACTGTCAACGCACAATGCATCTCAAGCCAGGTCTATAATGAACAAGAATGTATCATGCCTGCTTTTCTTGAGAGCAAGTGTCCTCTGACTTAAAATAAATAGTGGATGAAAAAAAAAAAATCAAAATACTATTACTTTTAATACTAGTGTTAGAACAACTACATTATGGCACAATGGAGCTGAACAGGGGCTGCCTGCTCCGGTTCCAGAAGTAAAATTTCCATTCAGTTTCCCCATAGATTTAGTGAAAAACTCTAATATTAACAGTTCAAAGGCATCCAACCAGCTACGTTCTACCTAATATCCATAATACAGTTGTTTTATGCCCAAAAAGCACATTTAAAATGCAAGATTCAGCGAAATGCTTTAATAACTTACTGGTTTATAACGTTTCAGAAGCAGGTTTAAATTACATTATAGTTTTTTTGGCCATTAGTTACCACATAGCTGATTAGCCCTGAGCAAAATTTCAAACTTTTAAATACATTTTTTTTGGAAAGTCTATGGGAAAATGAATGAGAAATGTAGTTTTGGAATGTTTGAACTGGATTTCTAATCCGGTTATATCCACTTTCTAGTACTAAAGTTGTTCTGGATAAAACAAATACAGAACAGATCAAAATATTGAGTAGAAGTTAAGGTACCTGAAATACTATTACACAACTGAAATCCCTATCTACCACTACTTCAACCACTACCACTACACCTACTAGTATTACATCATGTTTCCAAGCACCACTGTTACTACTGCTGCTGCTAATTGTACTACTACTAATACTACAACTGTTGCATGTTACTAGGTCATTGGGTATGAATAACATGGACCCAATTAAATCAGCTGTCTTGAAGTTTCATAGTGTAAAAATATTCAGCAGGGGCACCACTGGGTTCTGACTGACAACACTTTGGAGCAAGGTTCAAAGCTTTTGGTACTGACACTTTCAAATCTGGTGAGAAAAAGAAAGGAAAAGAAAAGGAGAGAAAGAAAGAGAGAGAGCTGTCTACAGCAGCATGAACAGGTCTTGCCACATGATGATGGTGAAATCCAGACAGTCATCCTCTCATTTTGACAGGGTTTGGAGATGGGGAATATCCCAGGAGTATAACGCACCATATTGCCAGCAGACATGAGCAGGACACTGAGTAGTACTGACAGTGGCAGGAGCACCACTAAGGAACCATCCCCCATCACACACCAAGGAGCTCTGTCTGTCTGATTACACCCAGAGAAGCCAATCAAAACTGGGGAGAGGACAGGTCAGGATGAGACGAGCTACTGGATGCTCTGCTAGACTTATATGAATCAAAACATCGTGTATTAAGGGAGAGGTGACCCATACAACACAGAATGTGTGTTAAAGCTAGAGATAGACTGATATGTTTAGTTTTTTTTCATGACCACTGCCGATAACAAAACCAATGACCAATAAGTTCTGCTGATATTTTTGGGGTGATATTTTGGGAAGATTTTGATTATTTTCCCCAAGTTATGTAATTTAAAGTTACTAAAAACTCTCCCAAAGACTTTTTTCTTTTTAACACAAAACTTTAACATAGCCGAGTAGTCACATTTTGTTCCGCTATCTCTTTGTATTAAAGTGTTCATACAAAGCTTTGTGTGTATTTTTTAAGCAGCAGAAACCAAACCAAAATATTGGACTATGCTGGAGATTTAATGCTGATAGCGACTACAATAAAAAGTCCAATACTGGCCTCAATATCTCTCTCGATATATCCCGATGTCCCTCAAACAGAAATGTTACAAATAGTTGCTGATGTGATAGAAAAGGGAAATCAAATATGATCAATAATAGTTTATATTCATGGTAATATTTTCAAGGCTTGTTAGTGAGGCAGCCATTGCACTGTAGTGAGCTATAGTCTTATCAGAGTGTGTGAAACCTTGTAGCTGTTGGATATGAATCAATATATTTCCCACTGAGGGAGAGGGGTGGCCAGTAGGGGGCAAATCAACACAGCACGGCAACTGATTGTGAATCTTGTGCTGTGTGTAATTAACAATCATACATACTATTGACAAGTGTTAAAGGTGAAGTCCCCAGTTCTTAAGTCAAAGAGATTGCACATTATCAGTGAAGGGAAAATGCAAGCCTAGGAATGACAACCACCACACTAAGGATTGGCAACAATGACAAAAATGTATATCCCAATATTTTTTGAGTATCCTGACAATATTAAGACCCAACAAAAAACTGTTACAACATGTCTTTAGTTGATTATTATACAAAAGTGACAAAAGTAAGTATAAAAAACTTACATTTTTAGATATTTTTTTAGATATGTTTTTTAGATATTTTTAATTAGAAATTATATGATCAATATTAAAAATGTGCATATCTTCCATGCAACATTCTAAATATTATCCATATTTTGATAATCTGTCCACCTCTGTACCACATCATACCCATAGACTGTATAAAGAAGTGGCTCCAGTCAAAGCTCACGATGCTAGCAGTCATAGTATTTGTAGCCGAGGTCTACATTAGAAACTTTTTATTTACAGACAAAATGGCGAAATAAAAACACCAGGATCATGCAGTTAATACTAACATGTTAAGACCAAAATGAGAAGCCTGACAGCAGCAGCACAGAGTGACAATTTTCCAATACAAAAAATCAATTGGAGCCAGAAGCGTCCCCCTGAAGACTTCCTATTTGAAAAGCGGCAGCGGTACATATACAGTCTATAATCATAACATATGTCACATAGCAAGGTGTGGGAGATGATTTTCTGCGGTGGTAATGCTATAACGGAAAAGGAGAAATGAAAAGAGCACTCCAGGTAAATACTAAAATATTTATATAATCAAAATATTCATGTAGTAGGAAACTGTTCTTCACTATCCCTTATGAATATATTGCATGGGTCAGACTTTACACAGCAGCCTGTTGCAGAGTGTACCCTCCTCTCTACAAGCCCATGTTTAGAGAGCTATTAGCCAGCAAAGAGCAAAACGCACAAGGGTCCGCATTATGTTTTCTGTTACTATGGAGACCGTTTTTTCCACTCAAACAGGAAAGTGGGGCGCCAATCGGATCACAAGCCTCATTGAATCTCTGATGGGGGTGAGAGGAGGAGATAGGCGCAGACAGACTGAGAATGAACAACAATAGGACGAAATCTCCAGGGACACCCAAAAGGCCAGGGCCAGAAAGGGTCCTGCAAAGAGGGACCAACTCGAAAAGGTCTACATCAACATCTGCGTCAATGGCTTTTAAATAAAGCCTTCAACATCCAGCCATTGACATTTAAAGTGCATATGACAGGTTAGACTTCTCATTTCACTAGAACATAGTTAACAGCATTATACTGAAGATTTTACTAAAAACATAGCACCGTTTTTTTGTCTATTTTTAATTTTCATTTTAGTTAAGTTTATGTTTTTAGTTCCTGACTGGACATGGGTAGCAAATGTGACATCACATAAGTCTAGGTAGCTCCATGACTGTTAATGTTAACACAGAACAATACAATTAGACTAATACAGATACCAATACTAATACAATGCCAGAAAAAATCCTTCCTACTCCTGCATTTTGGATGGAATTTTCAGTGCTGACATAGGCTGAGCTTACTCTTGTATTTTTGTACCTTTCTACAACTTTTTTCTCCCACAAACTGCCACTGATGTGAGCCCATAATAAATATTTACGACACACACTATCCCAAATATGCTCTTTAAGCTGCTCACGGCTAGCCAGCATTGTGTGGGCAAATATAACATGAAGGCAAATCGATTAGCTGTTTCAAGCTGTGACAATATTATTGCATCACCAGCATCTATCCAGTGACTGAGAAAAGAGGGTGTTATAAATTATTAGCTGCGACATATCTGGACATTTATAGCATCCACATTGATTTTAAAAACAAATGTTGTCGGGATTTGTAAAGCAGTCAATGGAATAAGTCCACAGATAAGTCTCTAAACCATCTCTGCTGTCCTTGAAAGTGTCTATTGCACTTACTTTTGGCATAATTCTTCGCTTGGACAATTTGCGCACATAAGAAAAAGCATGTAATGAATGCCTTTGAATAGGACACAGTTTGAAGTGGGGGATGTAATGTCTATACATCAATATAAATCTCGCCAGTGTAGTGTCTCCAGTGGGTTTTACATTACTGTGAGAACTAGATGCTTTGTGCATTTTGATTAGAGCACTAGGTTAGATATGCAGTAGTCTATAAGGGTCATCCATACTGTAACCTTAACTGCCAAGAACCATTGATGTGAATTGGAAGATAAACAGAATGAATAATATGACCTTGTAGGTGGCTTATAAGCGCTTTCATGTTTTATTTTTTTTTCCCATGTTTTTTTTATCTAGGACCTGCACAATATATCACAATCAAATTCAAATTATAATTTGAGTTGGGGGCAATTGTTAAAAAGCAAAGTCTGTATTTGTTTGGATAATAGAATGTCCTCTGCAAAGAACAGCTTTTCTTTGTACAGAAAAATGTGGTTGTACATTTA